TTTGAAAACGATGGTGGCAGCAATTGTATCATCATGCTTGATCTAATTGAACTACAGATTGTTATCTTATCTATAAGAGCTCCCAATAAAGTAGAAGAAACAATTTTAAAAAGCCTCGCCTTTCTCCCATAAGCTGGGTAGCTAAACAAGAAAGTGGCTTTGTTTGTTTGGAAATGGGATGAGAAATGGAAAAAAGGGGTGAAGGTAGCAACTTAGAACTTTCCCAAGCTATTTTGATTTGGCAATTTTCAAAGCTATTTTATTCAAATGTTGATTTCAGCCTTTTTCATATTTGCATCTTTAGTGCCTACCATGGGCCAATGTCTTGATTAATGTTTCAATCAATGATGGTGCCATTCAGTGAGACTAAGCTATCTGTTTTTATGTGTTAAGGTTACAAGAACAGCAAACCGCCCAATAGCTGCCGGAGACATTTCAACCCTACAGTCCCTCGTTTTTCTTGGGGGACAGCTCACCTTGGCACTGGGTGTCCTTCTGTGTCTGAATCACTACAGGTATATTAAATGTGTCTCGTTTAATCATTTTAAAGTCTCTCATTTGAATTGGTAGAAATAGAAATAAAATAAAATGGGAACACCTTGATACAGTGTTGTTTTATAGGCTACCTGTTGACCATCTATGAGTTAGCAAGTGTAAATAAAACCAGCACACATTGCAAAATATGCTTCAGGGATGCTTTCCACCGAACAAGAGACCAGAATGTAATTTAACCTGAACCAGCCTCTGGGGTGTACAGTAGTCTCCCAGGAGACCAAGAGCACTCTCACAGACCCTCCAAGTAAATGTATGTATCTAGGACTTTGCTTATGCTGACCACATGTTTGAAGTAGATAGCAACAAAAGTGATTGTACGCATTTTGCAAAAAGAGCAGCTCTGTCTTTCCCAGAATCTTGCTATTACTCGATGTTTAATTCACTAATAGAGACAAAGTAAACTTTTGTACAATGGATGGCTGCTTACAGCCTGCCTTGATGAGCAGGTCAAAGCCCAGAAGGCATGGGTGTTGGTTTCAGCAGACAGTGTTAACGCTGTAGAGACTAGAGCCAGTCTCATGCCTTGCCCTGATAAGTAAACATCAGCAACACAGACACTTTGGGAAGTGGTTTCTGGAAAGTAATCTTTTTTCTAGAGAAGTAGCAATCAGTGGACCATATTCGGGGGTGGGGTGGTGGCTATTTTGATGTCCTGTGTCCTGCTGGCTTACCAGTGAAGCACTTGGCTGTCAACCCAAAGGTCAGTGGTTTGAAGTCACCAACCACAATGCAGGAAAAAGGCCTAACGATCGACCCCTGTAAAGAAGAGGGCCTCACAGACCCTGGGAGGTGGTCCATCTTGCCCTGTGGGGCCCTGTGAATAGGGCTCTGGGCACTGAACAGCAGTCTTGAGCTCAGACATTGATGATTCTGCAGTAGAATCCCCCCCATCCACGTGTAAGAGCCAGTTCCATGCCCAGCCATTGGACCTCCTGGGTGGCCACCACCCATCTGATTTTGGAGTCTTGTCTGTTGCTACATGCTGTGAACGTCCAGACTCAGGTGCACTAGGACACAAGCCCTGGTGATCTACTTCCAAAATGTAACTAGTGAAAACCCTGTGGATCTGCAGCCAACCCTTCCAATGACAGGCCTGGGCAGCATTTCCTTCCGCTGTGCCTGGGCTCACCGTGAGTCCGGGTGGAGATCACCACCTCGTGATTTGCATTCTCTCGTGAGCGATCTCAGTTTACACTCACCACTTAGAGGAGCAGTCACAGAGTGTTCATGAGATGGACCCGAGTCAGACTGCTGCAGATGCCAGTCCTGACATTGCCGTTTTCTATGTGACAGTTGAAAAGTGACTTAATCTCTTTCTTTACCTCATCTATAAAATGAGGATAAAACCAACTCCCTCTCAGGTTTGTTGTGAAGATCAAAACGGGCTATAATTCTGTGTTAGCTCTTCTATTTTGTGTGGTTTGGTTGTGTTAACACTTTTTCCCCCCTCTCATCTTTTTTAATAGACAAAGCCAAAGAAAGTTTTACGTAACAAAAAAATACAATTGGAAAAAAATTCATTTTTTATTAAGTGATGCTGTGTTTGTCTTAAAAGTATGTAGTGATTTTAAGAGATAACGGCATTAAACCTTTATGTTTTAGAATAATAATTTACTGTGTTTCTGGTGAAAGACTACAGCAAGCAAGGTACCCGTTTGAGATTCGCACACACCCTGCGAGGCCGGTACAGTTTCACCTGTGTCAGCGTTCTCGTACACGGGTCTGCTTGTTTCATTTCCCGGGCCACTTCTTGCCTTGACGTTCATCTCTTTCCTGGCTTGTCCCGATTTCAGCATCGCTCTGGGCGCAGCGTCTCTTCTCCTGGTCACCATCTACCCGCTAATGAAAAGAGTCACATACTGGCCTCAGCTAGTCTTGGGTGAGCGTGAAATGACTATACGTTTTTCATTTGATACTCTCAAACCGTACTTTTAAGAATTAGTATGTGTCGAGGATAAAATGTTGGCTCAGTCATGATATTTTCCAAACCAAAAACAGACTTTCATAATAGTCAGCCTTTTTTGGGGGGTTGGTTGGTGGGTGCAGAGGGGAGGTAGCTAAGAAATCTTGCATTGATTAAGATTATCATCATTTCCTGAAATCCTCTTTTTAAAATTCAGTTGTTTCGTTGGGGGGAGGGAGCCTTGACCACAACTCTCTTTTCGGGTGGTTGATGTGGGTGCCCTGAAGAATTCAAAGATTAAGAAGGAGTCCACTAAAGCAGAAGGAGAAGGGTTGAACGTGTTGAATGTGTGGGCTCAGGGTAACTGAAGACTCCCTTCCTGATGAAGCTTCCTGGCAGGAAGCTCCTCCCAGGAGAAACGCGGCCAGTCTCTCCTCTGGGTTGCCCTTTCACTGGCATTACTTCGAGGGAGTACAGTGAGGGTCTCCAACATGTCCTCGTCAGCACGTTCTCAATACCCGCCGCCGAGAGCGCAGTCTTCCCACGTGGACTAGTGTCTAGCTTAATGCGTGCCACATGACAGGTAGTCAGGAAATATTTGCACACCATTTTGGTAGACAGAGCAGAGGGCAAGTTAGTAGATGATGATACAATCTATTGCAAAAATGTCTACTCCCAGACTTCTCTACTAGCCTCTGTTCTTAGTTCTTGAGACATTTTTGCAGTCATTAGAAGTGGAGCAAATAGACAGTACAAGCAACTGGGACCAGACTTAATTCATGAGAAGTTGTGGTGAAATACTTCTCTTTTTCGAAAAACAATATTCTCAATTGACCTGGTGCTATTTTGGTGGAGGAAAAAAAATGAGCACTTTCTACTTACAAGATAATGTTATAAAAGTGACTCTATTTCCCACAAATAGCAAGTGGACTCTTAATTTATGCATGAGCCAGCATCAGGTGCCAGGGAAATGCCAATCAAATGAATACCTTCCCCACCTTTTGGAGCTCGAGGGGCCGGCCAGTGCTGCACGGTGGGCACGGCAAGCACACGTGGTGAGGAACCGCTGCAGAGAGCCCCTCCCTTTCCTAGGCAGGACCGGAGGGGGAAAAGGGTGTTTGGGACCTATTGATTTAAGGTCACTGAGGGATTCGCAGGTAAAGATGTCTAATGGTATTAATCCATAGTGCTCAGTATCTAGTCCGAAACTTAGGAAAGATAGATTTAGAAGTTATTAACATGTAGTTTCATTTACAGCCCTCAGAGAGGATGCCCTTGTGAAGTGAACAAGTGTGCCTAGCTTTACCTTATTGTTTCTGTAGCTTAGAGGAGACGGAGGTGGCCTGGTGGCACAGTGGTTATGCATGGGACCGCTAACCACCGGTCAGCAGTTTGAAACCACTAGTTGCTCGGAGGGAGAAAGATGATAATTCCTACTCCTGTAAAAGGTTACCAGTCTCAGAAACCCACAGAGACAGTTCTGTCCTGTTGCAAAGGGTCCCCACGAGTTGGAATCAGAAGGGAGGGCAGGGAGAGTGGTAGTGGACAGGACAGAACATGGGTTTTTTGAGCCCAATTCATCTAAGTTCCAACCCCATCGTCTGTTTATTGGCTGTGTGTCAAACTGGCTGGCACATAGGGTTTCCACGGCTGTCACCTTTGTCGCCGAAGACCGCCGCGGCTTTCACCCGTGATTGAGTTGATGCTGGAGGGTAGTAGCTATATCATTGTAATTTGTTAAGTAGCCTCTCTGAGCCTGTGTCCTTCAAAGGGGGCTAGTGGGGAATCACGAGACGGTTGAGAGAAATCAGTGAGGGGGCATGTGCCTTCCCTATGGAGCCCTGAAGCACACTTGGCCTGAATTCCCTCTCTGCGTTTCTCTAATTACAGGGTTGACTTTTAACTGGGGAGCATTACTTGGCTGGTCTGCTGTCAAAGGCTCCTGTGATCCATATGTTTGCCTGCCACTTTATTTTTCTGGAATTATGTGGACACTGGTCTATGATACCATCTATGCCCATCAGGTAAAGAAACACCTTTCTCTTAACTTTCATTTTGTTCTCACAGTTTTTTAAGAACTTTAAAGGGGAAAGTACTTTTTTCTAAACAGAAAAATCATTCACAATTTCACAACTCTAACAAATGGACTTTTTGTGTGTTTCATGTTCATGGATTATTTTAGCGTGAGAGTCCCATTTACAGTGTTTAGAAGCATTACGTAGTTTTCCCTATATGAGAGCACCGGGCTGCTAGCTGCAAGGGCAGCCATTTGAAACCACCAGGAATGTGAAACCCATGGGGGAAACAGGAGGCTTTCTGCCCCTGTGCAGTCACGTCTGTCTCAGACCCACAGAGCCAGGTCTGCTCTGCCCAGTAGGGTGGCCCTGAGTCACAATAGATTCCATGGCATTGAGTTTTGCGGGTGGGTCAGAGATGACAGGCCCTGTTTTATTTATTTCTTAATTCATTATTTTATTAGCAGCTCTTACAGATGTCATAACATTCCATAATTCACGTAATTCAAGGATAATCGTACAATTGCAACTACAAACAGTTTAAAACATTTTCTTCTTGAACTCTTTGATGTCAGCTCCTACCCACCCTTACCCCCCATGAATCCTTGTTATATATTATTATGAATATTCTATTTTTATTATTATACTTTTCTTTTCACTCACAATTCTGCTATTTGCTCCCCATGAGTGAAGTTATGGGGTTATACAGTCATCATTGCTATCAGGCCCATCCCGCCTTCCCATGTCCTCAAGGAATCATTGCTCCCATTGCTGTTTCTATAGGGTCATCCATCCTAGCACCCCTACATTGAACAACCTTACTTATACACCTGCACCTATGTAGGTCTAACAGTATTAGTGAGGTGAAACATAAGCCTTAATAGTAAGAGGAGGAAATCTTAAAGGACCAGAGGATAGTTATGGGTTTTATCAGTGCTAGGCCACAGCCTGGCTTCCTCATTGCTCCCACATGGCCCCTCTGTGAGGACCTGTCCAATTGTCTTGCAGGTGGGCTTTATGGGTTTCATCAGTGCTAGGCCACAGCCTGGCTTCCTCATTGCTCCCACATGGCCCCTCTGTGAGGACCTGTCCAATTGTCTTGCAGGTGGGCTTTGGGTCTCCACTCTGTCCTTGCTCCTTCACATCCATTTGATTGCTTGTTTCTGAACTTCTGGTACCTATTCCTGTCGACACCTCATGATCACACAGGCTGGTGTGTTTCTTCCATGTGGGCTTGTTGTTTCCCTGCTAGATGGCCACTTGTCTAACTATAAGCCTTTATGACCCCGATGCTATATCTTTTAATTGCCAGGCACTATCAGCTTTCTTCACCAGATTTGCTTATGCACCCATTTGTCTTCAGCGATACTCACCAGGAAGGTGAGTATCATACAGTGCCACTTCATTAGAACAAACCATTTTTGTACTCGGGTGAGATTTTAGTAGAGGCCCAAAGTCCCATCTGCTTCCTTGTTGAATTTACATATATATACATGTACAGACAAATACACCTATATTCATATACTTATATATTTATATATCTACATTTATTCCTATATATATATATATATATATAATTTTTTGCTTTCTTCTTCTTTCCTTTTTCTCTTTCCTCCTGCCCCACTAGTATACTTACCTCGCAATAATTCCCCTCAGGCGCTTTTTGATTGATCTAACCCAACCAGGAACAATGCTACACCCTCCTGTCAATTTTATAACCATTATTATTCCCCTGTCTCTGCCATTATTGGCTCACCACTCACACCTCCCCTGCCCCCTGCCCTCCCGTGACACACACCACTACCATCACCTCACCCCCCAAACCATAGGTACCATTGCTTTCTTCATGGGGTTGCTTGTCCTACCTGTCTTATATAGACAGACACACACACACCCAAAAAACAACAACAAGGAAAGACAATATAAATAGTTACACGTCTAACTGACGTTCTGACCCAGAGTAGATCTCTCTGCTAAATAGCAGGCAGGCCGTTACAATGCATCGGTCCATTCCCTTGTCTTTCAGGGACCCACATCCCGGGACCCGCTTACCTAGCAGCACTTGTACCCTTTTAGCCCTCAGCCTTCATGTCCAATAGGCACACGCCTACTGGTCCCTATTGCTCTTCCTGCAGTCAGGGATGGAGCGATCTAGCAGGCACTGTTTTAAATACTTGACACGCACTAAATCCTGACAAACAACTGGTGAAGAAGGTACCCTTCTCCCATTAGTGAATGGGAGAGCGGATGTTCAACCTCAACAGTCTTTCTAGAGCAGTGGTTCTCAACCTTCCTCATGCCACAACCCTTTCATACAGTTCCTCATGTTGTGCTGACCTCCCAAACCATAAAATTGTTTTTGTTGCTACTTCATAACTGTAATTTTGCTACTGTTATGAATCAGGCGACCCCTGTGAAAGGGTCATTCGACACCCCCCCCATAGGGATCTCGACCCACAGGTTGAGAACCGCTGTTCTAGAGCCTGTGCTTTTAACCACCTTGCTCAACTGCCCCACCCCCACCCTGCTTAGATGTCTCTTGCTAAGTGTGACATAATAAACTTTTCCCGTGTTTTTACTAATTCTTAGTAATTGTCACTTTACATGACCTCTGGGTTAACGTGCTGTAGTGTTTTATTTAGTTACTGGGTGGTGGGTGGTTGGTTCACTTAACAGCATATCTGTTCTGACCATTTAATTTGTTTCTGAGTTTCCACAGTGAGAAATATAGTGTGATAATCACTGACATCTTTATGACTATGAGATAAATATTCAGGAATATTTTTACCAAAATGGTATAAACATTTGTGCAGCTTGTGATTCTTCTTTTTTACATAATTAATTAAAATAAATAAGCCTGTGTTCCCTCTCTTCTTACTAATGCTCTTAATTTCCTTTTTACATTTATGAGCTTTTCAGAGAATGGTTTGTTACTCAGTATTTTTCTAAAACATGACACTATGTACCTTCCATCAGTTATTTAAAGACTATGCTATGACTTAATTTGAGGCTTTTTTTCTCCTAATGTTTCAATCCTGATTTCACTCTGCTTGCTTCTGATACCCCCTGAGTGATTCACACACTACATTTGTATCATCATGAACAACTTCTGCATATCCGTAGTTAGATGATTTCCCAAAGAAAACCCTGACTCGCAGCTGAGGAGAGGTAAGACTGTCTCGCATTTCTGGAGCCAGGGGTTGAGATAACTAGTCCCAAAATGCCATGCACTCCTTGACGCTTGGGTGGTTCACATGCTTAAAGACGGTTTGCACTGAAGGAGCTTACGGGTGAAAGGAAAAACAGACTCGCTAACCCCACAGTATTTTTATTTGGATTCCAAGATGCTGTCTCTCAAGTTGCAATAACCTTGGAACCTAAAAAGGCCTATCCAATTGGCTCTCCGCCTGCAGGCCAGTACAGAGAAGTCCGGTGTGCAGCCATTGTCAGACAACCATAAGGGCAACAGTCTTTGCAAACCCTTACAAATTAAGTTGCTGAGGAGACTGCTGAGCCAGGTATGAGTGTTTCAAGCCTAGAAAGGGTTTGGTGGCAGAAGGAAGGAATACATTGTGGTCAGGGGCACTTTTCTTCGTCTGTGACTTTAGAAGATTTTAAGTAAAATGTACAGGAAATTATTAAGACATGAAACTTGAGAGGAAGAGAGGCCCTCCATGAAAAATTAAGAGTCAGATTTCAACGTCATCTACAGGAGTACAAGTATAGTTGCGTGGCATTGTATAGGGCAATGGGAAACACACTGAGCTGTAGACCTGGAAGATGATTTCAGCAGTAAGACGTCCATGTGATTCAGCCTGCACCTTCATACGGATTAGCCGGCGTCTCGTCTCGGAGTTTCCATCTTCTTTCACGGCTGGAGGTGTAGCCACATGTTCCTGAAAACAAACAAACAGTGTCTTTCAACTTTCTGGTACAGGATAAAAGAGACGATGCGCTCCTCGGTCTCAAGTCAACAGCGCTGCGGTTCCGCGACAACACCAAGCAGTGGCTCAGTGGCTTCAGCCTGGCGATGCTGGGGGCTCTGGGTCTGGTGGGCGTGAACTGCGACCAGACGCTGCCCTACTACGCTACTCTGGCTGCCATGGGAGCCCATCTGACTCACCAGGTGCGCGTTTGCACGTCTCTCGTCCCTGTTCTCGCAGTATAAAGGGGAAAATAATTTCCCTTCAATGCCCTCTGTGTGTATCAAGCCAGCTACTTCTTGCAACAAACCTCTTCCTTGCCTTTGGACTGCCCCAAACCACCTCCTCCCCTGCCCTAGCTTGTCACAGAAAAGAGCTAGCTGTATTATTTTAGAGATAATTTAAGATTCAGCCTGAATTGTTTTCTAAGAGCATCCTTCCCTTTTCCTAAAATCAACTTCTGGACAAATTTCAGTACCGTCCAAAGGTGGTTGGTGGAGTTGAACTACTCTTAACAGTCAAACTGATCATGAAACAGCTATTGTTTGATTTACAGGACTGGGGAACACGGGGTGTTTTCATCACTAGCAGGGATTGCTCTGAGTGGTAGTGGGTAGTTCTGGAAGTGGGGCGGGGTGGGAGGTATTTTAGGTCTCATTGTAAACTGGAGAGGAGGCTCTGCAGAAGTTCATGGGTAAAGGTCAGACGTACTAAATAACTCTCAGTCCACCAGACAGCTCTGCACAGTAGGGACTTGTCCTTTCCAAATGTGACCTGTTCTCCTGTTGAAAAGCATTGCTCCAGAGAACTAGAACTAGAACCACTGGGAAGGAGCTGCAGAGAAGCGGAATGTAGATCACTCTATATAAGGCAGGGTTCCCCCAAGTAGCCTGAAAATAGCCTGGTTCAGCTCTGAAAGCATTAACGCACCCTTCAACTGAAAGGTTTTAGGGCCCCGCTTAGATAATGTAGCCTGAGCGGTACAGAATTTTCTACTTTGGGAAACAGTCTGGGCTACATTTAGGGTCGTGCCATTGCTTAAAAGTCTTCTTGTCTGGATTGTGTTCATTTGCGATGCAAAAAAAAAAAA